CTCAAATATACCTCAGAATTCCACTCGGTATATATATATACAGGGTGTCCCAGAACTAGTGTAAGATATTGAAATGGGAGGTTCCTGACGCAATTCTAAACAACATTTTCCTTTGCGAAAAAGTTGTCCGAGGGGTGGTTAAGGAGTTATTAATAAAAAACCCCGACCAATGAGAGCGCTCAGCTGGCGCGAGCTCCGGCTCGGGAGCGTTGGCTCGCGGCCGGACGCTTGGCTTTTGACGCGTGAACAAGCGCTCTGCTTAATACGAAGCGGTTTAAGAAAATAACGAATAATAAACTTTCACTTTTTCTTTTCGAACCCGTTTGAAATAAAAATAATCGTACAGTGCAGAGTATAAAGTAAAAGTGAAAAAGAAGACGTAAAATAGAAAGAATTATCAGTGAGAAAGGGACTGTGATCGCGGAAGGAAGAGAACAGCAAGTGCAGGTCATTGACCTGCTCTGAACATCAGCTGTGGCCGACCATCTGTTTTACCTACGAGCGGTAAAAATCGGTACTCTGACCCACTGACCATGATTCCTCGGAGCATGTGCTGCGGTTGAATGGGTATGTCTAATCTGTACAGTAAAATGTATTAATTGCTATTTATTTCCTTGCATTGTCATTCATGTAGTTTAATGTTATTATTCGTTATTTTCTTAAACCGCTTCGTATTAAGCAGAGCGCTTGTTCACGCGTCAAAAGCCAAGCGTCCGGCCGCGAGCCAACGCTCCCGAGCCGGAGCTCGCGCCAGCTGAGCGCTCTCATTGGTCGGGGTTTTTTATTAATAACTCCTTAACCACTCCACGGACAAATTTTTCGCAAAGGAAAATGTTGTTTAGAATTGCGTCAGGAACCTCCCATTTCAATATCTTACACTAGTTCTGGGACACCCTGTATATAAAGTCTCGGTTTGTAATTCGACGAGCATTTGTGGTCGACGATTCAGGATTAATTTTCCAATCGGGGATGAACCTCGATGGAAAAATATGTTCCACGTTTGATGAACAGATTAAATAAGCTTGTTAATTAAACACATTTATTGAACCTTTAATCGCACAGATACATGTCGCCGCGTCGTCCAGCGCGTGACGAGTGATATACATATTTCTTTTAGTACAATATACGTTTTATATATATTATATTCGTACATACATATATTATCTGTATTTTACGCGCGCGACGGAGTTGATAATTTTCAAGGACAGGAAGGACTCCGTCGTTTTCATAAATTTAATTGATCCACGCATGAACAATAATTTAAACGACTGGAAGAAAGGAGAGATCCGTTACGAGATCTTTTTAGTTCGTAGGTCGATCGCTCTCGAAGAAATAATAAATATATAGGAGGTACGATGTGTCTAGAAAAATATAGCCATATAGTGAGTTAGACTTTTTTTTTTTTTAAGACAGACGCATGGGTAGTGTGACTATTCTCTGTTCTCAGCGATCGTTTTTTTCTTTCTCTCTTTCTAATCGATTATTATTATTCACGTCGAAGAATCGTACGATTCTCTGACGTATAGAATAATTTCTTCTTACTCTATGTAAAACTAATTGATAGACTGGAGATTTCACCTGAAATTGTGTCGATATAAAATATTACTAATTGCGCCGAGAACTTCAGCTATTGTTCCGCCTTTTAAACAGCAGAGCGAACTGTTTAGTTTAAAAAATCTGCAGTCCATCAATGAGGCAACGTCGATAGTGCACGAATTGCATTTGTTTCCGATACGATCTCTAAGTAGTTGGTTCCTCGTTTGCTGATTCGCGTACCCGTATAACTGTTGGAACGACGCTATCGACGTGTCAGTGAATCGGTAGGGACGAAAATACATTTTCAGGATCGTTTCAAGCCTTACAATTAATATCGAAAAGGTCACATCGATACAAACGAGTCGGCTACTATTTTTGGCAGCCGCCCGTTACTGACTATGTGTCTCAATGAACGACGACGCGCGGTGCATTTACGAAAAATTTACGGAAACCAAACGATGAAACGGTGAAACAAAAATAGTGCACGTGCAGAAATTGTTCGTGTCGACGAATTACGATGACCCTTTCAATCGGAAAACTGATCGGAATTTTTAAACGAACGATGCAATTCTGCGACCCTTTCGCTGTCAAGTGGAAAATTCGAACAATTTCATCGCGAATTTCAACAGAACAATTGTACTTGCTGTAGATTGTTCGTCGCAAAGTTGATCCACTGTGCTTTGTTCCCGTTTTCAGTCCCGGTTTAATCGAAAGCAAACACTAATATTTGATATGTAAATCGTTGCACGGTTCTCTCTGTATCGAATGTCCGATTTAAAAAAACGACGGACGACCGAGCGAGAGAAGCTGGCTCCGGCGTGAGCGAAAGGGTCCAAGGGGCGACGACGCCAACTCTATCAGGGGTGGTTTCACGTTCAAGCGTGGTCGAGAACAAACGATTACGTATTGTATTTTGCGTTTGACACAGGTACAAGTGCGCCGTCATCGGTTTGCTCCACGGCGAAACTATACTCGAACGTTTTACGTCGCGTTTAAACATTCAAACATCTGCGGCCGTGTAAACTGTTGGAGCGTTTCACCGAAGGATACTCAATGCTAGAAACAACGAGTTCATCTAGCTGCTCGACGATGAATTTACTTAAGCGAGAACTCGTTCAGAAATCGACCATCTCGTTCGAACAAGATTTAGATTCTCCGAGGTTTTCGTACGAACCACGCAAAACTTTATTTAAACGTTCGATAAACATTTGAAACGCTCGAGTAAATTCCAACGCGAGCAACGATTGTAGAAACGATTATTAATTATTCTCTTACGTGTGAATCCCTTTGTAATTTCCTCTCTCGACCGTCTCTATTGGAAGCTACCGCCCAACCGATATTTAGTTCTCTTCTCTCTCTCTTCTCACGGAACTCTCCGAGTTCTCTCGATTCAGTGGAAACGCCAAGGAAAAATTGTTGTTTCTTCCACTTGAAACGAGTTCCCAGTTTCCTCTGTTCTGCTAATAGGACCTCCGACTCTGTCATTTGCTCTCTATATAACTTCTCGTCGAACCAGTCCCTCCGGATTTCACAGTAGCTACTTTTTACATCGATTTTCTCGTTCATCCTCGTCCCGAGATACGAAACGAGATGCGATGACAAAATCGAACGATCAGAATTTGATTAATCGTGGAAATCATCGGTGGAGATTGGTTGCTTTTTTTCGGTTGGACAGTGAAATCCGCCTGGATCGATCTGTACGTTCGACTGTTGAATTTCGAAAAAATAAGGGAATAGACGTAATAAATGAAGAGATAGAAAACCGGCTTAGATCTCGTAGTTGCGGAACTTGTTCACCACTTCGCTGGGTGGTTCAGAATTCCATCCGACGTCGCGACGCGCTCCGTAATAAATATTTGCGCCTCCCTCCGAGGCTCTCCTGTGAGCGTTGGGTGCTTGCACCTTCCCCGGGGAACTGGTCGCACCCTCGGACTCCGGCAGCATCCGGTCCTTCGTCTTCGGCGTGCTCCAGTGCATCGACTGTCATCCATTCCCGATTAAACATTTCATCGCGCAGAAAATTGTTTCGAAAGTATGCCATCGGAATTTTTGATCAAACGCGCGTAGATTTAAGTTTCGATTCATTCGAAGAATAGCATAGATTCGTGAAGAGAATTAATTTCGATCTTACCTGGTGCACCTGATCCTTCATGCCGACCCACTGCTTGTAGCTGATGGCGATGCCACTGTGTCTCCATTTGTCGTAGTTATTCCTCTTCTCGGGGTCGCAGAGGACCTCTTTCGCGTGCTGTGACAAAAACGAGTCGCGTTACCTTCGCTCCGACGGACGTCGTCGTTCGCCGTCAAAGAGACGATGGAAAAACGTGCAAAACGAGTGATTCGTGATCGAATGAACGTAAATCGAAAATGAGACCTTGAGTTGCTGGAATTTTCGTTCTGCCTCCTTGTCGCCTTCGTTCTTGTCCGGGTGGTACTGAAGCGCGAGCACTCTGTACTCGGCCGTGATCTGCTCCACCTGGAAATCGGTAGAAAAATTCGGAAAGGAGAGAGAGAGATCGTGTGCGAACGTTGTAGGCAACGTGACCTTTAGACAACCGACGTGTGGGGTGGCTTTAAAACACCTAAGGGGGATGGTTCACTACACACCCTTTAAAGTTTATACTAGCGTCAGCTTCGGATGCTGTTCCAGCGAATCGTCACAG